ATACCATTTGAAGCATAAAGTGGAGTACCGAACATCTAGATCTTCAAAATCTCGGTTAAAGGTTGTGTGCAAGCATAAAAACTGCCCATTCTTGCTTTCTGCGAATGCACTAACTGGAAGTAGTTGGAAAATTTCAAACTTTATTCATCCACATACATGCTTGGTTAACCTGAGTCATTCAACCCCTCGACAAGTGCCTGCAAAGATCATTGGAGCATTATTCGCGCCGAAGTTGTTGACAGAGGGCTGAGTATTGAAGCCTGCAGAAATTATGGGTGATATGGAGCGTGATCATGGCATTAAGCTCAACTACAATACAGCTTTGAGGTCTCAAAACGCCGCATACGACTTCATTTATGGAGATCACAAGAAGTCCTGGGAACTTTTGTCGGCGTATTTTCATATGTCGATGAAGGAAAATCCTGGAACATCGGCATACATTGAGACCGATAAAGATGACGTGTTTGAGTATGATTTCATTTCTTTTCATGCGTCTGCAGGCTTCCTCAGTTATTGTCGGCCCGTTATTGTGATTGACGGTACGCATTTGAAGGGTAAGTATAAAGGCATCCTATTTGTAGCAACTACAAAGGACGGAAATGAACAAATTTTTCCTTTGGCATTTGGTATCGGCGATAAAGAATGTCATAGTGCGTGGATGTGGTTTCTCAAAAAGCTTCGATCCACTTTTGGATGTCCGGAAAATTTAGTGATTGTTTCTGATCGCCACCAGGGCATAAAGTCTGCTATGGAGGTTGTGTACCCTGAAGCCGTACATGCCATATGTTCCTACCACCTTCGACAAAATATTCGAAGTCAGGGGTGTAAAGTTGTTGGTTTATATATGAAAGCTTCATACACTTATTCTCCCATTGTGTACGAAAAGTCAATGGCTATGCTTGCGGCAAAATATCCTAACACAAAAAAAGTTTTGATTGATGAAGCTATTCCAACTAGATGGGCACGAAGTCAATGTCCTGTGAGATGATATAGTTTCATGACGTCAAATGCTTGTGAGGTGCTTAACAATAGGTTGCGTTGGGCAAGGAAATTGCCTGTTTGCTCATTGTTTGAATGTATTCGAAACATTATGCAAGAGTGGTTTCACAAAAGGCGTGTCGAGGCAGAAAAGACTGAGTGTGAAGTTCCTCCGTCAATATCTAAGCGTTTAATGGATTATAAAAACGAAGCGGACCAAATGGAAGCTTCAAATATCAATCACTATGTTTACCATGTGAAGGATGGGGTCAAGAATTTTGTCAATTTGAATGATCGGACTTGCACTTGTTATCTCTTTCAGGTGGATTTATTGCCCTGTTCACATGCGATTAAGGCTATCGGGTAATTTTTTCATTTTTTTTATTTAATAAAAGCCTCAACGTTTACATACATATGTTATGTTACACATAAGAAAATGTTATATTGTGTTCCATTATTTTTTTAGAAAGGCAAACGAATCGGTGTATGGATATGTGCACGACTACTACTGAATGTATCATTCTGGACTAATTGCTCATCTGCGGGCATAATGTTAACTGTGAAAGGGTAAGTTATGGGTTTTGCCCTCAATTTCTGAAAGTAGCCCGACTGTTGGAGTAATGGTGGCAGCAAGTGGGAAAGTGGGGCCAATGTCTGCGCTCGACTTTGCAAGGAGTCCTCAGGATTGTGGGCCAAGGAGTCGTAGACATTGATCTCCCACTTCTTTAAGTCCACACGACATACCACCCAGTGGTCTCCCACGTTGCATACCAAGACGACCTGTCCAATTCAATCCATACATTATGAATTAAAAACTTTTGCAGAGGTTTGATAAATTGCCGGAAACCACTATTTCATAATAAAAGCATCACTAATAAATCCAACTACTTACCTCAGAAATCTGCAGCCAAGGTTTACCCCAACTAACAGCTGTACCACGCACATATTTAATGATCGACTCAGGTGCCTTCCAATCGGTATAGGCACATTTAAGTTTTTTCCACTCTAGCTCGAACAAACTCTGATAAAATCGTTTACCGTTAGCAAAACATTGTCAACTTAAAATATCGATATTATTTTATATTGATGATAACAATACTTACAAATAGAGTTGCGTCCTGGATGTTAATAGCTGAACCAGGACCTGTTGCCTTTACTTTCACTTTGTTATACAAATTTCCGGCAATTACCTCAAGATATGGATTAATGTGCTACAACATTAAAGTACGGGATCTTATTAAAATCAAAAAATTGTGGTTGAAAATGAGCATTAAAATCCACAAAAAAAGATTAACACTTACAATATGACCAAGTTTTTTCCGAAATCCCTCAATATATTGGAAGTAGTCTCGGCCATGTAAAAACTTAGGCGTCTGCTCAACGTCGATCCTAAATAAGTAATAAACCATATTTAGTAATGATAAAAAAACTCTATTTTACAAAATGCAAAGATAATAAATCAATACTTACAGCGTAGTATCTTTACCCTTCATCCATTTTTTGTAGGCGCGACTCCATTTTTCCTCTTCGTCCTTCTGCAAGTAGTTAACAAAGGGTGAACTTACTTTTTTGCCCAAGAACCTCATACGTCGTTGTTGTCGTGGCGCATTATCCTCATCTTCATTCTCATCAATCGCCTAGGAGTTTTTTGAAGCAAAAGTATTAGTTGTAGGAGTTTCTCGACAAATTCAAAAATGTAGATACTTGCAACAAAAATTAGTTGTTGTACTCACCGCCTGCTCCACAGCCTCATGAGCAATCTGGACAATGTCAGGAGACTTATTCTCCTCATCATCCTTCTCATCAGTCGTCTAAAAGTTTTGGGAACAAAAAATATTCGTTTACGAGAACAGAAGTTTAATTATACAAATAATAAACAAATGTTCGTTTACCTCATTATCAACCACCTGCTCAGAATCCTGAGGGGACTTCTTCTCGGACCTCTCCTCATGAATCAACTAAGAGTTTTTAGAACAAAAAATATTAATTCTAGAAGAACCAAATTGTTATTCACGAAAAAAAGTACAAAAGTCAAATGCAAATGTAATAATTTACCTCATTGGCAGACACCTCATGCTCCTTCTCCTCCTCTTCTTTCTTAGCCTCCTTCTCCTTCTCTTCTTCATCCTCCTCATCCTTCTTTTCCTCTTTCTCCTTCTCTTCTTTCTCCTCCTCTTCTTTATTAGCCTCCTTCTCCTTCTCTTCTTCCTCCTCCCCATCCTTCTTTTCCTCTTCCTCCTCTTTCTCATTCTCTTCTTTCTCCTCCTCTTCTTTCTTAGCTTCCTTCTCCTTCTCTTCTTCCTCCTCTTCATCCTTCTTTTCCTCTTCCTTCCTTTCTTCATCTTCCTTCTCTTCTGTCTCAGCCTCGTTATCAACCACCTAAGAGTTTTTGGAACATAAAATATTAGTTTTAGGAGAAAAGTACAACAAAACATCATGTTGTTCGGAGCTCATTCAAATCATGTGCATGCTTAAAACAACCATAACAAATATTCTCACAACCATAACTCTACCAGAACAAATCTACAAATGTCAAAATAAACATGTTAAAATATAATCCACCAAAATGAACATGTTAAGTGTCAATAGAAACTTACCACATGAACAAATTCTGGTATGTCACTTGCTTCTCCTGGAGGTGAAGGATTCTCATCTCCTTGCTTTGTACTCCAAGGTCTCTCTGACATAGAATCATTCCCAGCTCTCCTTGCTTCCTCAAATGCCCGCTTAATGGCATCAGGGACGAGCTGTCTCAAAGTTCTCTCAACTATCGAAGGCACCATCTCCTTCAAACAGTTGGAGACTTCTTCCTTTATCAATGCTCTGAGGAGATCCTTGTCCATTCCCGAAATTTCAGGTTCCCTAACCTCCCTCTCTTCCTCCCTCACCATCTCTTCTTCCTCACAATCAGTACCCTCAAGACCACGAGCCTTCTTCAAAGGTTTCTGCGTCGACGCAACAGCCTTGCGCTTATTTTTCTGTAGCTTCTTGTTTGAAGGGTCACAACTGCTCTTCCAAGACTCATGGTGGATATACTTCAACCCCAAGGACAAATCCAAATCGATGTCAACCATGTAAGGAGCATTTTTCTCGGGATCCGTCAAAGTCATTTGATTACATTTAATCTACATATAAAATGCAAATAATATTATCAAAAATATGAAAAATCTCATAACATGATAGATGCACTAAATTATATGTATTAATAAACATATTTACCTCTGGTTTATCCAACTCATCCAAACGATTAAAATTTTTCTTCGGACAAAGCCACCTTGTGCCTCTAGTAGGCCATCTCCGGTACAAGTAAATCCTCCGGCTTCAATCACAAACTCGGGCATCAACTCACAAGCCCATATCTATTTAAAAAACAAAAAATCGCAAATTGTCATTTTTTAAAATTAGAGCACGGAAAATAATTTTAAAATCTTAAAATAGCAAAAGTACCTGCAGCGGCATCAAATAAGCATGGATGTAGAATTGTACATCACAATCATCTTCCGGCGCACGTATACCAACATCAATGTAATGGTATAAACGTTGAAAGGCATATGCACCCCATGGAAATTTTTGAAAACTCTCAAGATCTTCCACTAATGTCCACAACCAAAGTGGCACAGCCGATCTAGCGTCGGGTGCAAAGAAGAAAAAATGGATGACCAATATCAAGGCAACTTTCATTGCGTCATCGGGGTAATTCAAAAATTTACCCTTCTTGAAATCATTGAGTAAATCTACGCCTACAACACTATGGCCATCAAAATGGCGCCGATATACACCATTTATCGGTGGTGGAAAACTCTCATTCTCGTCGGGTATGAAAGTTGATTGACCAAATTTCAATCCTGTAATTTGGCAAAATTCCACTTTGCCAAATTTAAAGTTTTTTCTCCCAACTCTAAACCACCGCTCTTTCTCTCGAGCATTATCAACGACTACCTCCCGACTAAGTAAAGAAAGGAGGAGTTTTCCCCTATAATAGGCATGACTATCGAATCTCAAAAACTGTCCCAAACATGAATTTTCAAATTGCCTAAGACGGCCACAAAGTTCGAGTTGCGAATTAATATGGCGTATTACTTCTGGCTTTGTTTGGCAATTTATTTTTCCACTCCAATTGCAAGGTTGGTTCCATCTCCAACT